ATCATATTGACTTTTATTTTAACAATTAATCAACAGATTATTTTCATTTTTCCAATGAATAATCAGAGAGCAAAATAGGATTTTAAAGAAGACCTTTTTTTTTACAGAATTTAAACCTGGTCAAACTACAAGGTTTCCACTTGAGGAGTTCTGGTGAAGCATTCTGACGGACAAAAACGTATCTTATTCTTAAATGCTAAATGTATTAATAATTTTTACAATCTTGGTATAATTTCTGCTCTAAGTGTGTCACTCTGTGGGCTAAAGGCAGGTTTTAGTCTCTATACTCCAGTTAATGATCAATCAATGACTAAATTAGCTGAGTTTCTGTGTGAAGAACTATTTGACCATCTAATCTCAATGCATCAGTAGATCCTCAATAAATAATAGATCAGCCCACAATCTGGGTATGTGGGTCTACCTGTAGTACCGTCTGCAGGCAGGAAGAGTGGGGGGGCGCTTGACTCTGGCAGGCAGAGCTCAACTTAAAGGAGACTGAAATATTAAAGCCTATGGTGGCCAGATGTTTGCACTGAGGAGCAGCTTCAACTCTAGGATGAATCGTCTGTTATGTTCAGCCTGGAAAATCCGGTATCTATTACCTGGATGACGACAGCAGGTGATGAACAATGATTAGACTGTTAGATGTCATTGGCTAATAGCAGCCGTCTCCATGGACGCAGGTTTTTATGATGCCATGTAGGCAAACAGACAGGAGGATAAAGACGGAAGGAAACAAAATGTTAATCATTAGATTAATGCAGTCTGTGTTTGTAGCAGCTTTATTAGTGATGCTGTGGGCTTTTTCATTAGCAGGGACTTAAAGTTCATATTAACAATATATTCTTCTACAAAAACACCAGCAACCTTTTGATTGTGCTAGAATAAGGTTATAAACACCAAGCTTCACCCTGATGGTTTTTGAATAATCCTTTTTAAGCCTAAATAGAATTTGAACTCTGGTTGAAATGAGCAGAAATTAAAACATTCCTGATTTTCTGAAATTGAAATCATCACAAACAATCAATGATTGGTTAATTATTGGCCCGGCCTCAGCTGGCAGTACTGTAGACCTATACTAAATAGAGACCAACCATCCTGCCTCTCCCAGTCTATAGAAACAGTCCTGCAGCTTTTATTGCTGCTTTTTTCTTTTTCTTTAACATGGTTCCCATTATGTTGTGTAGTCTATAAAAATCCTTTTATCTGTTCTTCTGAATTAAAGCACAAATATTGGAGTAAAAATCAGTTCATCAAAAATTTTTGA